GAGATTTGTGCTGTTGATTTAAAAGTCGCATATCTGTTAGTACATAGGTAAGGTCGCGAGCAGTTCGGAAGTTTAAGGGCAGCTGTTATCGCTTATAGATCGGTGCTCCATCTCCACTTGAAAAATACGAATAACTTGTTCGTGTTCGTGTTTGCTTCATTCTCACGTAGGTTCACAGATAGTTGCAGGTTTCCGAATAGTCTGCAAACGAAATGTTTGCATATCAAAGGGTGAAATTGCATCTGCGCTGCCTTTCTAAAGTTCTTTACAGTACTTTATCTCTTCAGTCGTTCCCCTGCTTTCTCGTCTTGATTGTGTTTGGCAAGTTGGAAAGAAGGACTTTCACGGGAAGATGTGGATCTACTCGTCTTTCCAAGATGGATGGAACACTGTAACAGTGTTTGCACAGTTGAACACAAAATTATTTCTTGCATACGCAGCACTCATAACCGAATGTTTGAATCAGATGGTATACAGTGCCGTCATCTATTCAACTACTTTTGTGTTTCGAACACGTTTGACTTAAATAACGAAAACAGTCATGTTTAAAGTAACAAATATTCTGATTTTTTGTTGTGGCTGTGATACTTTCTGGCTGTAAGTGTTTTCGGCGCTGTCTACACGGTTTCTCTTGTCCTGTTTGTGTTAAGAGTATTAATTATTAATTCTATTTACCGCATAATTTGAAGGTAATTCATGTTGTGCCATCAACAGTTATATCTCATTCACCTTAATGCAAGAGCACAATAATAGCTGTTTTTTGATGTCTGATATCGAGGAATGCTCTCTGCCCGTTCAGACAGGGTTGATCCGTCGGTGGAGCGTAAGGCTCAGAAGCGAGAAGTCCCGCATTCGATATCTGGTCGCAGTCATTCGCCTTTCTTCCGTCCGAGGTCGATTAATGAGTACCATTCTCTGGGAAAGAAGCAGAATACAGACCATTTGTGCCAAATAGCTGCTGTCTGCTCCGCTTTTAAAATAAGTACTCTTGCCTGATGGCATGGAAATATAGCTGAGCGCCGAAGACCGACATTTGAACAATGAAAGGCTTTCCTTTCCTTCAGATTTTAGTTTGAAGAAAGTTACAAAATTCTCAAAATTATCTAACTCCTTTTTTTGCGGTAAATCCACTTGGTTTTTGGCAGTATAACGAAATACATTTCACTCCATTTACTTATCCGTTTTACTCATCTGCTTCTTTCAGACGAGATGAAACATATTAATTTTCTGTTATCTTAGTTAGGTTTCTCAACTTGAACTGTAACAGAACGTATCCAGTGTATGATGTTCGCTGTATTCTCATCTTTTCAATATGTTTGCTGTGAGACTGTTGCATTGAGCCATGAAGCACAGAAATTGATAAGATAAGCGGCGATGACTTCATAATTTTAAATTTTTTGTGATTTGACGTGAGCATGGATCCCAAATGGCTTTATATTAGCTTGAACGTTACCTGTGATAAAGCAGATGATGACTGTCTGAAAAATTGTACTTGGTTAGACAAGTGGCGAGAAACGTAAACTTGGCGGTTCTTAGTTTTGAAAATGAGAGCAGTTAAACCCTAGTGATGAACTCGTTATCAGCGTTTTTACTGCTTGTATTCAGCTTGACAGCACCGGTAAACAAGCGTCGATACCCGGCTAGTACGGATGAATTTGGCTATGGTTTACCCGCATACGTGAATCCGGCAGATGTCACAGTGCCGCTGCTCGTTGGCGACCAACAGCTGCTGATGGAAAAGCCGTTCAAATGCACTTACTGCGACCATCGTACGAAAGAGAAATCAGCTCTCGAGAAGCATATCCGCTGTATTCACACTCTCGAAACGCCGTATAAATGCGACTATTGCAGTCAAGCGTTTAAAGTGCAAAGCAATCTCGTTCGACATATTCGAGCGCATACAGGTTTTTGACATTTGTCGTCGCTCTGTTGCAGTGTGCATATCTTTTTTAAGGCGAGAAGCCGTACGTCTGTAAAAAGTGTGGAACTCCCTATGCGGACAAGAAAAATATGGACGCACATATCTTTCGGCAACATCTAAAAATGAAACCTTTCCAGTGTCCGTCAGAAGGTTGTTCCGCGAAGTTCTGGCGCCAGGACAGGTTCAACTACCATTGTCGAAGGCAGCACGGTCTTGAACCGCATGTCTTCTGAGCTGATCTCTGTCTTAACTGCGAATACACATCTGTATCATATTTTGAAGCATGTTGTTTTTACGTGAAACTGAGCAGAACTACGACTTCTGGAGAGAAGAACTAATGAGAAAAGAGGCTTTAATAGTGCTGAACCGTTTTGGAGAAAGTAACTGGGTATCGAGCAGACGCACTAAATTTTGAGTTGAATATGCATGTGAAAGGTCATCTCCATGATTTAAATTCCTTCTTACCAGAAGCTGTAAGTTTGGAATAATGCTTTATTTTGGAGATGTCTATATGCATAGCATAGTTGCATGCATGGATTCATTACTTGTTCAGAATTATCCTGTTGGATATTCCTGTAAATTACTTGAAGTTTTAGTTGTCTGATTTATGTTGAATTTCAGTAAAGTGCTTTTCACAGGTCGTATACTATAAAGTTTAAGTCGGTTTCACAGTGTGCTTTCTGATTATCTTTTATGACGTTGAACCTGAATCGAGGTTGGACTCTGGTTTGAAGGCATGAGAACAATTCTATAAAAAATAGCTGGTAATGAGCAAGGTGTTACTCCAGCGAATTGGTGATGGGAAATGCATCAGAGTCCTGCAGATGCTCAAATGTAAGGAAGTCAGCGTGATCCTAGACTTCCTCTCCGATGCCACGATAAATGGTGTGTTATAACAATATGAATGCATGAGAAACGTAGAAACTTTAGCGTAGCGTCTGAGTTGCCGTTGAAGAAAATCGCTCGATGGATTCTTGCTACGCATCTATTGCTGGTATTTGTATTTGAAGTAGCTTTACGGTGATAAACAGATTTATTCATAGTATAGCTGCTTACAGTGATACTCCGAGTTGCCAGTTGTGTGACTTAAAATATTGTTTTCTCTTAGTACGTGCTAGCAGTTGACTTCTGATAGATTTTATTATTGGAAAAATCTTTAAAATTCTCATGGTGTCACAGTGAGTAGCTACATGCTCATTGCGAGTGAGCAGGTGGCTGCAATCTGTTTTAATCAAAGGTGAACTGCCATTTAAAGTAAACTTAAACCATTTAAGCTTGAATTTTAGTATGTTTGCGGTTATTTAAAACAGGCTGCATTATGGATACAAAACCTCATTTAATGGATTGGATGAAGTTTCGTTCAGTCAATTATGTACCCCTCTGAAATAATCGATAATGTGAAGAAGGAACACAAACTTCTCACCGTTCAGTATTCTAAGCGGTATTTCTACCGTTGACGTGCTCGGCGTTACAGAATGAGATTGTGTTGCTGATTGCCGACCAGCCTACACAAAGATCGTTTAATGTAATATTAGGACAGAGAAAGAAATCGATATACGGCTGCGAGAAAAGGACTTTTAGCATACCTGCACATCGCATATGACATAATCAGTTTAGGGTTTTGCGGCATAAACTACTTATGCAAAATACCAAAACACTGAATGTACAATGGCAATCAGTGTTCTTCCTGATACGAGGTGCTGAGTTGGTAGTAAATGTGAGAAAAGCTCATTCAGTTAGTCAACCAACCGTGTCGCGCCAAATCGTCGAATATGGCAACTAAAAGTCTTCCGTTATTGAATTTGGCCGTGGTGTCTGTATTGACCTAAATAATCCACTGTTTGTGGCGGTGAGCTGATGAATGTTGGATTAGTTGCGCCGCGAGCTGTTAACGACGCCTGTGCGATGGTTCAAATCCACTGGATGGTTGAAACTTAAAGATAT